TGTCATAACCTGTTTGCTTTTTTTTACTTGCATCATTATAAACGATGATCAATTTAATATCATTTAATATTTTATAAATTAAATTAAAGATTTTCACCTAAGATTTCGTTCGTGGCGTCAATTTCTAGAATAAAATAATAAGGAACTGATACTCAAAGAATTGCGATTAAAAATGATTTATCTGACCCAAGCAACAGTATCAGATGCCCATGAACACTCATTTCAAAAGAAATATTCTATTCTAAATCGATCCATAAAAATGAAACCATCATGTTGTTACAAATATTTTCACTATGCGAGTGCACACGATAAGCAAAACTGCAAAAAGTTTTCGTTCTATTCTTTGATGCAAGTTTTCACCAAGTAAGAGGAATGTCATAAAGCCTATAACTTGATTATCGAGACTCAAAATATAGCTATTAAGATATTTCCTCAATGAAGTCGTGTACCGATATAGCGCTAAATTAACGATTTTGCGTGAATGTGGTGAAACAAGATTAATACTCAACTCGATACCCACATACGGATACTGAGTTCGGCATCTACTTTACGGGAAATCGTGACTTGTAGCGTGTTATTACCTAGAATATAAATATAATAAAATCTCAGAGATCCAAGTTTTTCCTTTATTTGCTAGCTCAGATATTTAGTTTTCTTTTCAAATATTCGCAGATTGATTTACTATCGAAGCTATATTTTGCATTTGTTTCATGAATCATTATGATTCGATAAATCGTATCAGAGACATTTGTTTTTCTGGAACGATACAGTAGTTATGATTTATTGAAATAGACATTTGTATTTATATGAAATATAGTCATAATCCCCTCAGAAATATTTAAACTGAATTAAATCTGAAATGTGAGAAAACACTTAGTTTTAATAAATCCAATACTACTATTTCATCATATCAATGGCGTAGCCGGAAATTTTTGAGTCATGGGCAATTCATTAGCCGAACTATTTCGAGTTACGGGCAGCTAATGGCAAACCGTTATGATTTCAAAAATATCTATGGGCAATAACTGTTCAAGCACTGCATAGCTCAATAAATCCATGGGCAATAACTTGTGGAGTTATGGGCAATTGCCCAATGGCCCTACCCCTGGCTACACCACTGTATCATATCGATCATTGTTTAATGTTCTAGCGTGGTTACTAGTATACACAAACTATAATTCATATCACTTACCCTTTTCAACTGAGAAGTGTGCCACTGCAACACATGTAGTCATTTTATCTTGTATTTTTGATAACATGATTAAATCAGAAAATTTGTTGAAATATACATCCACAAGTAAGAGTGCAGAAAAGAAAAACGCATTAGTTATGAAATTGATTCATTATTTTTTATCATAAATATTTGAAATATATGGAGAAATTCAACTTTCTCAAGGCATAGAAGATATACATTGAGTAAGATTGAATCTTGTTAAAATTTTGCTTCACTTTCTGGAATTATATGTTAAATGTGAGATTAAATAATGTAATTTATAAGATAAATATAACATAAATTGTATTCCGTTGAAGCAGTGATAATGAAACCAAATACTAGGATTCAGTTGATATTTAAAATATGCATACACTAAGAGCAAATAATTACAAAATTATTCGTCTTCTGTAAAAATTTTTGATAAAGAAATTTTGGTGATTCATGTGAAGCACGTTGTGGATGAAAAGAAAATATTTTGAAAAAAAATAAATAATTTCACCGTATTTTATAATTTCTGCAACTAAATTTCAATTATTATCTTGATTAGGTATTGATAAAAAGAGAATAAAACATTAGTTAATGCATTTTTTCTTATAGTTGGTTAAAGTTTTTTATGATAAAAACATAAAAAGTATACGAATAGGGTAAAGAAAGAAAATTTATTACATTTTTTCCAAACTAAGGTAGTATTGTTAGAATCAACATCTTTACAACGAATAGTGTATATACGATTTTTCGTATTTTGTCATAATAGCTATAGTATTACTTTGATGATAAACGTATTTATCAGAACAGAATCGATAATTTCTTGCCATGTTTAAAAATAGTAATTTTTTATTGCTATTGCCACGAATACATGAATGAATATAACCTTGATCAAATGAATCAGATTCAATTATGTTTTCAAACAAAAGTAGAAAATCTTTGTTTCACTTGTTCACAAAGATTTATACAATTAATTTTGTGATCATATAATGAATGTAACATATTTTGATTTGCATTAACATTTCTATACATATCAGAAAACAAACTGACTCATTTTTTAGATTATCATAATAAAATGTACGGCATAACAATGATGATCATATAAAGATAGCGGATTTATAGAACTAAAAAGATTGCTTACTTAACGCTACCCTAGTCGACAATTCATAAACAAATCCCTGAGGAGTCCCATACTCACTCTCGGTCCCTGGTGGAATGCCTATCATGATTCACCAGGGACTCCGAGAGGATTTTATAATGAGATTTTACTAGGAGTGGATATTCTGATAAGAACGTCGTGTACGATTGTTTGCAGTCGTCTTAAGTCTCATAGTATATTCCTGGAGAGTTCCTGACAAATCTTCATAAATTTTCTAACAAATCCACAGGAACTCTCACATCAATCCCTGGAAACTTTTTGACTCCCTCGTAAATCCATAGGAAATCCCTGTTGGGAGTCCCCAGAGAATTTTGACAGGAACTCCTCAGGGATTCGTTTAGGGATTCTCGACTAGGGCATCTTATCTTACCAAACTGTTCGAGATTTGAGTCATTGGAGATCAAATCCATATCGAATAGTAGCAAATCCTAAGGCTTTAGATTTTGTTGTATCCCAAGGAAAGATCAAAATAAGCAACTTTTGACCACATATTTTGTATGGATGCGTTCAAAGACAAATGACAAATGTTTTTGACATAGCAGTTCAATTGCACATACTTAGAGTCGGTCTGATTAGTTTCTACCGGCTTTTTCATTGACTTTTAGGACGATAAAGGTGGCGTATTATGCTCGTTTTCAATCATCTCCATGACTTTATTAATCAAGAGATATGAGTCTGGAAGTCTTTAAATGACAAATTGCGAGTCATCTTCATCAAATTCCAGCTCTCAATATTGATCTAACACTTTTTTCATCGTACGATGAGAGCCTTGGAACCATACTGAATGAATTTATTATGCTCAGGAAAGATGAGCCATATATTAGAAATTGATTTCAGTCGAAACTAATACTTTTTCATCACAAAGTTTTGAACGCATTTTTCTAGACTACTTTTAATCAACTCTTGTTGACTAATAACTCTATAAAACTGTGAAAATATTTAAATGTTAAAAAAAACTTATCATAGGAAGTCTAGTATCAAAACAGCACTATCTTTCTATCGACAACAGTATCCTTTTACGACTTGAGATGATGTTCACCTGTGTTAAATAAGTATTTCAAATAAGAATAAATCAAACTTCTCAACTCTAAAGAAATCATATCATTATTGAAAAAAAATTAGTTACCGCATAATGTAGATGCTAGTTGCTGTAAGTCATTAGATGAAACATTTTGAAAAAAATCTTCATTCGTTCTTCATGTTAGTACATACGAAACATGACAGAATAACAGAGTTGTTACTATTACAAAATTCTAAGAATTATATAAATTTTACATGTTGTGTGTACATAGAACTGAAGTAGTAGACTGTTTCTCGAAAATATCGATATAGTAAGTGCACCGATTACCCACTAGCCAAGTCAAAAATCTCAGCCAGTTGGTCGAAAAACATCTGAAGCGGTTCCAAGTATGAATTGCTGTCATAGTTACATCAAATAAAATGTTTATTCAATCAAAATTTTTTAGTCAATTTTCAACAGAACAAAGTCTTTTGCTTTGCTCTATAACATTATTTGCTATACATGCTTTGAATAGTTGTGCACAAAGATGTCATACGTTTTTTTTTATTTGAATAAAGAAGAAATATGAATAAGAGAAGAAACTTTTTATTGTACAAGATAAGTATCAGACATGAGTTATTACAATATGTATTAAGATGAAAGAATATCTGAGTTGAGTAATATTTGACCGAGAGAGAAGAAAATCACAGGGATAAGAAGAAGAAAAAGAAGTATATAATATTCAAGTTTTCATTTTGATTTATTCTGTTTCTTCATTTGTATTTGTATCCGCTTTTGTTTGACTTTTAATAGCTTCAATTTTTTTATCATGTTCATTTAATTTTTCCATTAAACGATCTAATTGTTCTTGTCGATCTTAAAAATAATAATAATTAAATATAAAACATAAAATAATTTTCTTTACTTGTTTCAGCTGTATTTAATTTTTGATTTATTTTTTCTTGTAATAATTGTCGTTCTTCTTCGAGTTTAGCTAAATTGTGATGAACAGTAGCAAGACCTTTTTCAATTGGTGTTTTAGCTTTTTCAACTTTAGCTTGTAAAACACGTTCACGATTTTCTTTAGCTGATTCAAGTTTTTTTTGTAATTTTTCTTCTGTTTGTTTTTTAAATTCTAAAACAAAAAAAAAATAAAAACTGAAAAACTTTATTTTGATGAATTAATTTTCTTTTCGTACCTTCAGCTTGTTGATCTTTTATTTTACTAACTTCAACTGGTCGATTATTTTCTGCTGCAAGTAATGTAGCACGTAGTTGTTCAAGACTAAGTCGACGTTCTTCAGCACGTTTTAGTTTTTCCGTTATACTTTCAGGTGTTAATGGTGTTGTTAAATCATTTTGATTATTTTTTGCACTTGGTGAAAGAAAATGAATTGGTGGTTGACCAGTTCCATGACGTGGTGATTCTGCTAATTTTACTTCAAATGCAAGACCACCAGATGATTCAGCTAAAGTCGATGATGTATCACACATAGTTGTTGTTCGTTTTGGTGCTAGAATTAAATTTTTATTAGTATTAAATCACTAAATATATATGATTTTACTACTTACTTTCCATATTGACTAAATATGATTTAGCTAATAAAAGTAAAATCTAGAAACAAAACAAAAAAAAAGACAATTTATGATTTTTGTAATGGTGGATTATATTCTCGTTCAAAACGTTTAAAATCTTCTTCAGTAAAAATATTTTCTTCTTTTTCTTTTTTCTTTTTCTGTTGTAAAATTCGTTTAGATGGACCACCAAATCGATAATTATTTAATTGTTCAATTTGATCAGATGATACAACTGGTTTTGATATTTTTTTTAATGTTAAACATGTTTGTGCCAATTGTTTTCTATTTTGAAATATTGATTTATCATTATTTATTAATAAATTTTTTTTCTTTTTCTTTTTAATTGAACTTAATTTGGATTTGGATTTGGATTTTATTTCTTCATCATCATCATCAATTATTTCTAAAGCTTTCTTGACAATAGATTTCGACATAATTGTTTTCAATTATTAACAATTCATCGACAGACATATCGGACTATACAAAAAAAAAATATGTAACCAATAAAAATAAATGCAACACATAAAGCAGTAATGCATTTAGAGGTCAAATCGAAGAAGAAAAAAAACAAAACAAGAAATTTCTTTCTCTTCTATTCTTGTTATTGTATGTTTGTTAGTTATTCATTCATTTATTGAAATTACCGACATACAACATGTCTAGCCGACATTCACGTAATCTCAGTGCATCACTTTATGTTCGTGGTCTTGCAGAAAGAGTTCGGTAAGTTTTTCTTCTAAGTTTTTATACTTTATCGTTTTTTTGTTGTTTCTTAATTTCAATCTTTTCTTTTGTTTTTTTTTCTTGTGAAAAATCTATAAAAAAAATTGAATTCCCAGATAGATCTAAGCTAAACGCATGGCTTTGTGTTTTCTTTATATTTTTTTCATTTATTTTCTTTTCTCTTTCATAAGGTGTGTTACAAACGTGATCAAACAAAAAATATAAATCACACACATACACACATATACATACAGTCCCATTCTTTTTATTCAATAATACTCAAGCAATATGACCACACCAAAAATCTAACTAATTAATCAAGCAATTTCAAATAAGAAAGAAAACAGATTTTTCAAAAAAAAAAATTCCCATACAAATGCAAAGTACAGACAAGTTTCAATTGATTCCACATAGGAGATTCGTTTCATTTCAAAGTGGTGATGATATTACCAGGCAGCATCAGCAGAAATTCAAAACAAATTACAAGCAGTAGACGTATGCATCATATCATAGCTTTTCGGTGCCTTTATATTAAGTTTAAACAAAAATTGCTTTTTCTTTTTTTTTCTTCTTCGATCTTAGTCAAACAATATAAAGAAATCAATGTTGCGTGACAAATATAAAATGAACAAGCGTCATAGATGAATGACGTTTTATTGTTAACTAGGAAAATGAGTCACGACAATAGAAGTCAAGTTCAACTTTTGAATGAAAATTTCATCTCTCTTATCAGACAACGAAATAAAAAATAAAATAAAATCTATATAAAATTTCGTGGCGGTAAATCAATTCTGGTTTACTTCCTATTTCTTTAGAGATACAAATATTCATATTGAGTTATGTAACAAAAGTCGATTACGATATAGATTTCTGTTTTGAGAGTTAATGCATCGAAAGTGTATAGTTTAGTAAAAAGAAAGCACTCATTCTATCAAAGTGATATGCAATTTTGATCTATATACACTGATCATTGGTTCAAATCTATGAATGAAGCAAAAAATGGCTTCAATGAATAACATTAAATTTCATTTAGTTATGACGATTTGAAGAAAATCTTTGGACGATATGGACGTATTGTTGATATAACACTTCCATTGGATTATTATACACGTGATGCTAAAGGATTTGGTTTTGTTGAATATGAAGAAAGTCGTGATGCTGGTAAATAATTTTCTATCTATTTATAGTTCATTGAAAATATGCATTTTGTCTTGTAGAGGAAGCTCTTCATGCTCTAGATCGTTATCGATTATTTGGTCGAGAACTTGAAGTTGAATTTGCACGAGGTGATCGTAAAAGTAAGTTTATTAATATTTTACAATTTGAATGAAATAAAAAAAAATTTTCAATTCATTTAGCACCATCGGAAATGAGAGCTCGTGAAAAAGAAGCGCGTTATGGTGGACGAGGTGGTGATTTTAGTCGACGTGATCGATCACGAAGGTAAATTATTTTGTTTTAGCATTAATCAATCTATATAAATTATGATTTTAGTCGTGATCGTCGTCAACGAAGTGTTTCACCAGTAAGTCGAGATCGACGTCGAGGTGGTGGTAGTCGATCTCGTTCACCATATTCACGTTCGCCGATACCTAGACGGTAAGTTAAATCGTCGATGATGATGAAACATAGTTGCTACTCTCGACCTCTTTAATAAAGAGGTATGACGATATGACTATCCACTAAGATCTCTGAGACGATTAAAAATTATTGAAGATTTTTATTTATGGTTTGTTTTTTTAAAGAGGTGGTAGTCGTTCACATTCAAAATCGAATTCACCAAGTTATGCTAAACGAAATGGTGGTGGAGGTGGTGCTGGTAATACAAGTGGCGGCCGTCGTGGAAGTCGATCACGATCACCAGGAGATAATTAATTTAAAATTTTGAAAATAAACTTCGAAGAAGTTGATTTTCACTTCGGCTTTTTTCCAAGTCTCTGTGTGTGCGTGCGTCCGTGTGTATCTTATATGTGTCTATTAATAAACAAGAGAGGAAAAAAATTATAAACAACATATTCCTTGAATTTTTTCTTTTTTTGTGTATGCTGTTTTTTTTTCTTTGTTTATTCTAATTGACTTCTCTTTTTCCTTTTTCTTCTTTTTTCGTTTATTGTTGTTGTCTATTGATCTTTACACAACATATGCATTAATCATCTTTCTCTTCTCTTGATATTATATTCGACAGTTGATGAAAGCAAAGAAAAAAAAAATGAGACGAATAAATCGTTTACGTATTATGTATACACATTTTTTTTTTCATTGTGTATTAAAAATATTTGAAGAAAAAAATTAATTTTTTATTGAAATTGAAGGAATTTGATGAGTCAATGAAATTGATTCAGGAAAAAATGCTTGCGGATCATTTTTGTCATGTAAAGTATAGAGTTTATTGATAGAACAAACTTCTATAGATATGAATAGTATGAAAGTAAGCATTTTTAATATAAATCAAAATTGATGAGAAAGTGTCAATATGCTATATAGGTTTTTGTGAAACACGATCGAACAGAAGTATGTAGGATGAAGGTCAATAACGTCTCTTATTTTTGAAGGACTAGATGAAAGGATGACAAAGAAATGCGTCTCAAAATAGATGGAAGGAAACAATCTCTCTATGATTAGTAACAACAGCTACTTAGTGTTTTCATAGTTTATTTCCGTTAGGATTGTGCTAACAGCTTTTTTAATACCTTCTTGAATAGGATTTTTATTAGTAGATTATTTCATGTTTCTTCGGCCACGTTTTCACGTTCATGTTGTTATTTTAAGATTATTTTTCATTACAAATTTTGTGTTTAATAAGTTAATAAACTAGCACAGTACCGTTAAAATCAAGATTACTACCTGACCATTGACATAGTTCAATATGACGTGGTTGACTAGAGAATGCAGTCGATGAATTATTAATAAGTGTTATTCAAGAACGTATTCAAAGTACTCGAAAATGTATGAACACTCTATATTTCAAGTGTCTACTCTTGTACTATTGTTATATATCGACATGAATTTGTTATGATAGTAAAGTCTGTATTTTATATCAAAAATACGATTTTCAAACAAGTATTTATTTGTGTCAATGAAAATCAAAACATTGCATAAATATAATTTTCTTTTTAAAAGAATTTTTCTGACTAGCTCATTTTTTTATAGAATTAATTTAAAAGTAGAAAATATTATGAATATTAGTTCATAATGTGCTCTTGTCATTTCATAATTAAAGAATTTATTGAATGAACTCTATTTCTCTCCCGACAGAATAGTAGCTCACTAGGTTTCTTATTTGTTTCGCAAGTTAAAAGTTTGAAGAGTAGGCTTTTATTCCAATCATGTTTTTTTTCTGTGTTGTAATAATAATTTGATTTGCTTTCAAGTACAGAAATGCATATACAGAACAACTAACATAGTGCACACAGACTACTTGTATGATCAATATAATAGAAAATCAACTTTCGTGTTTCTTCAATAGAAATGACTTTTATAGTCTTCAATTATACGATAGAATGCTACTGAATGGAGCTTGTTGGATGCAAAATTCGGACTCGAACCGTACTCTTGATACTCTCAATGAAATTGTTTTATTTTGAATCTGTAAGATACTTTTTTCGATTGTTTGTAGCCCATGATTACCAAAGCTTACACATTTGTCAAGCAATTGTGATGATGCTTTTATAAGAGAGAAGCTATAATTGACTTTTACTTGTATAGTAGCATTCGTCTGATGAATTCTAAGGTCGGATCTCTTGAGATCTGGAACCTACCCAATGGATCACATACGATGGATTTGAAATGGTAATTAAAAGGATTTCAATAATAGTATAGAAACTATGAAATCATGAGAATTGGTGAGACTCTCAAAATCTCGATTCATAAACACCAGAGCCTAAATTTGTTCGAGTCGACTTTCCAATGTTTGAAAATCGTTTGGTTGATTTCCAATTTTATACTAATAAGGATTTACTTTTCCAATGACTGACTCTAGAAACCAATTATTTGAGATACAAGCATCGTTCGCTTTGTTATCATTTCAATGGTGTATGCTCATTACTCGTCAGTGAAACACTAAAGAACAAAAAGTACAATTAAAAATTTCGTTCAAACCAGCACGTCAACAAAGTTTCTTTTTGCAATTTGCGTATTTTGTTCTCATCGTTCGTGGCTTAAACTTTGAGGAGAGATAAAATATCAATCAATGTATCTTAAGTATCAGTTTTAGATCAAACTGCAACAATGGCAAAAGTTAATCGACACAATGAGATGCTTTCATTTAATATGATCAGAAGGATACAAAATCAAAAGCAAATGAAGAATCAATTGATTGAAAGAAAAATCAAATGTGTTTTGTCTACTCATATAAATTTATATGAAAAAGAAATAGTTGCATATCAATAGTTAAAATAAACAATACAAGAACGTTCATATATTTTCAAAAAAAGTTCAATTTGATAAATATTATATTTACCCTTGTAAAGCAAAAATGACTCTTTTCATTAGCCACTTGTTGAAGTCGGTTTTTACCATCTTTTGATAAATTACATTTGTCTAAATACAAGCATTTTATTGAACGATTTTCCTCCAGTATATTGATGATATCATCAATACATTCATCATTGATTAACGTATTTCCACAGACACTCCATGTTTTTAAACCTAATTTTTTATCTCGTGGTAATACTTGAATAATCGATTTTACACCTTTTGCAGCCATTAGATTTTTATCTAAATTGATCAGACTCATTACTTGAGGACTTTCGGTTAATAATTTTGCTATACGCATTGCACTCACATCGGTTATATTGTTGTCAATAATGAAGAATTTTAGAAGAGATCGATCGGCTATGGCTTCAAGAATATAATACAAACCTTCGTCTTTTAAATCATTATTACTAAAATAAAGTATTTCTAATGAAACAAATTTTCGTATATTTTCTGCAATAATTTTAGCTGATTTTACTGTTATTAATTTATTTTGAAATCATATCGATTTTGTTTGTGTAATCTCCGCACCTAGTTCAAAAGGAGTTGCGGTATGAGCGTTGATTGAGCTCGGCATCCTATAGTAATCAGTGCTATATTGGCTTGTGATACTTTCTTCAACTTCTTGATTTCCTGTTGGCATTACAGGTATATTTGAATTTATTAAAGGCAATAAAGATGAAGAATATGAATCGTTTGCTTTAAATTCATTTTTATATGCTTCTTCAATGATTGATTCAATTGGTTTTGGGTACAAAAAAACCTGTTCTGAATCATAATAAGCCATAGTATCCTTATCCAATTTTACATTATATAATAAATCATCAGTAGTTGTCTCAACATTTGAAGTTAATAAATTTGAACATCGTGAGCAAATATTCATCGTTGATGAATTCTTTGTATCTTTGACGACGAATGTTTCGAAGGTAGAAGAAATAGAACTATCTGTTTTTAAATATGGAAAGGGTGGTTCAATCTCTTTGATTTGAATAATCCATAGATGTGGTGCTGGATTAAGATGAGAAACAACGATAAATTGACGAGCGGCTGCTAAAAGAACTTCATCTTCTTGAGAATAGTATGAATATTGACGAATCTCTTTTCCTGTGAAGCATTCAACTATAAATATATTTCCTATTCCTTTTCATCCTAAACAGATTTCTGATTGAAGAACAGCAAGGGATTTTGTACATGATGGAAACACCACCAAAAAAACTCTTGCCAATTGTATAGAACTCGCCCAGATTCTGTTTTACACCTCGATAAATAATTTCACGATATGAAGGTATATGAGAAAGAGCAGTAATGAAGAGTTTTAATTAGAGAAACCAAGACTTGAGTTGATCGGATCTATCCGATTTATCTGAACGAAGAGTTGTATTCAGAACAGCATACAATGGTCTATCATCAGAAGAACTTCCCATTGTGTATAACATTATAGCTGCTGATTGATCTAAAGTCAGTCCGTCTGTTCGCTTTTCACAATTGTATTTAGATGTATAAACTTTTGCTTCAATGTTTGATAGAATTTCGGTAAACGGTTTGATGGCCTCTTCCAAGGTTAATAGAGGCATTTTTTCGTAACCTTCTATAGGCAGAAGCATTTTCTTAGGTTCTTCAGCTGCGTCCAAAAGTCAATCACTATACATGATTTTTTCGTTAGAACCAATATCTACAATCATTATCAATTAGTCAAGAAAAAAGTAAAACAATCAAATAGAAAGTTAAATGACTAGAAGAATATCTCATCAAAACAATAATTCTATACATATTTCAACTAGATCTTATTTCCTATTGCCCACTGAACTTTGACCCGGATCTGACAAAAATAAAACGTCAGATTCAAACCCGGTCGGATTCAGAGCTCGGTTTTTTCCACTCATATCTAGTACTCTCTCTCTATATAAAGGAACAAGTGAAGGATCAAAGTTTTTAGCTATTTATTGGTTACTTTCAAAAATAAAACTCAACTTACAGTGATGTCTTGTTATGCACTTTCTCATCATTCGATTCTTAATAAATTAAAAGATCTCGCTTAATTGAAAAGACTTTTATGTTAATAAAAGAAGAAAATCGAATAGTTTAATTATGTAAGTTTCGTGATTTTGAGTTCAGTTTTATTCAATAAAAATATATTTGTAAAGGTAGAAGAACGAAACAAGGAGAACAAGAGAAGATGCATATGTGTATATATATATAGGATAACAAGAATAGGAAAATCACGATTCTTATAAATCCATTCCTTCACTTCCTATTCTCTTGTATGAGCACTTTTTATTATTTCTCACAGTATTTTAGGCTAATTATAAAAACGAAAGAAATAATTACGGATTTCCACATAACTTATCATGTATCTCTAGCTAATATTATATCGAGAAGTAGACAAAATTACTGACACATATTAAGAAAAAAATCAGCGATATATATTTACTTTGAAACATACATCGTCATTCAAACCAAGTATTTTTTTTCTGCTTTACTGTTTGTCTTGGTTCTTTTTCCAAATGCAAGGTGACAAGGCCAGCAGATAACATAAGTCAAACATCGAGATGTAAGGCAATCGAATGAGCGACCCCCGAAGGCCAAACCATATTAAAGATTTTTTACTGTAGTTGCAATGGCTCGAAGATCGATATTCTGTTGTTGAAGACTTTCACCATTCAGAATTAGGTATAGCACGTTCTATTTTCCTTTCCTTTTTTTGAAAGAAAGTGCATTATCATATTTATTCAGGAATAGGTTTCGAGACCGTAAGTTCCATGCAAAAAAAACGAAAAACAACCCGTACATTAATAAGGTGTTTCATTTTCTAATCGTCTTTCTCAGCATTTTTCTTACATAATTATCCATCGATATGGTATCTCGACGTGGGTCAAAGGTTGATCTAAGACTATACTTACCATCTGCTGATACAGAGAATTCGAAAAACACACTATACTGATTACGATCGATTAAAACTATATTTAGTGCGTATTTTTTTGTATACGCCAGTTATATACTTTCTTGTCACTCAGTGTCCTATTATCCTCAATCTATATTTTCTGCTTCGAAATCTCTCAAGACCAAGAAAATTTTACAAAGAATCATTGAAAACTTCAAACTGTTATCGTCACATGATCAAATATTTCCAGCCGCTGCCATCGACCAAGGAAGAAAAGTCATAATAAATGCAATCACTGCCAACGATCAGTGTATCAGCTTACACTTCTACTCAGTTATCGAAATGACGATAAGGATTACAAATAAATAACTAAAAGAGAATGGTGTGTGTGTGTGAGTTTAAACGTATCGTTGTCACTACGATCTTTATTTGTGAAAGAAATTTGACTATAACAACAACAGCAAAAAGAAAGCAAATGACAATGGTGATGATTTATGCATTCAATACAAGTGTGAAAACACTGATTAAATATTAGCAAGGACAAGATGGAGATGATGGTGCGAATGAATAAGAGCCTAACATTTTCTAGTAGATTCTCGTACTCATTCTATTACTCTTACTTTCTGCAAAACGATATAGTTGGTGTTGCTAATCACCATGAGTTTGTTTTATTCCATTTAATTTAGAACATGTTTATTCGTCATCCTTTTACTTAACCTTCCATAAATCCAATAAGGAAGTAGTGCATATATAATAACGAGACGTTATTGATATACAGTCTTTAATCTTGTATTAACAACTTCTGTTATAGTCTTTGATGAGTTTTTTAAAGGTGTCTGTCATGTTTGTAGGAGGGGAACACTTCTTTTGACCGTGTTGCACAAAAGAACAAACAAAGTCAAAAAAATGGATCAATATTATTTGTCTTTTAGATTTTCGAGACGTTCTTCTGTTACATTTTTAATCTGTAATAAATGCCTTGTTGTTGAGATAATCATTCATGATGTCTGCGTTCTTTAATATGACCACAATCAATAACATAAATTTTACCAGAATTTTAAAGTATTGATAAACGATAAGCAATTGTTAAATATATTCTATTTGTTCGTGTTGTAACTAATGCATGTTGAACAGCTTTTTTCAGATCGATTATCTAATCCCATTGTGAAGTCATAAAGAAGAAAGGTCTTAAATTCAAAAGTAGAGCTCACAAAATAACAATTACAACAAAAATAGATGATGATCATGTTACTACGATCTGATCGTTCTAGTTTTGACGTTTGAATGATGATTTATTTGGATAAGCAGCTGACAAAAGAAAAAGATCGATTCACTGAGTCGTCATTCTGACAATTTCGATGGCTCTTTTACCCAGGAAGAAGTGAAACGCTGAAAATGCCGTTTAAACTGTCATCATCACCCGTTCTGTTAGGAAACGGTGATAAACGGCAAGAAAAAACATGATCATCACTTTTCTTGCCGTTTTTACGTCTAGTCAGCGTTTCCAAGCGTTATTCACATTAAATAATCTCTGAAACGGTTATCTAAGTCATTTTCTTCTTCGTAAAAGATAGTGAGAAATGTTTATGATCATCTTTTCCAACGAAAACAGCTGTAAATGCTTAAAGTAGATTAATTTTTTTTTTGGGACTGGTTCCCATAATTATTTATATTCTCGTGAATTTGTATTTTTTATTGTTTCATAGTACGCGTGAAAGACATTTAGTCCGTTTGGAGCTTCCATTTATCTTTTGATCTGCTGAATTACTTCAAAAAAGTATTCGCTGTAGATTTAATTATGTAAAAAAGAGTTCCTTTGATTAAAGTAAGAATCCGCATCACCTTAACATCATATGAATCAAAATCATGTGTTGGTACGAACATTAGAATATCGAAAAAATACAGGTTGATTTTATTGATTTAAAGTCTCAATTTTCACATTGAAATCCTAATTTTTTGATTATGTTCAAAGCTCGAAATGTACGATAAATTATAAGTTCCTAATATTCTCAAACATAAAATTGCTGCATTAGAGTTTTCATCACAAATTATCAACTCATCAGTATATGAGCTAATTGAAACTCGTTTTATGACAAGCAATACAACATTATTAATTATGAGCTACATAATCCAATTAGAAACTCTAGCCAAGTCAAAAGAGAGTAATATTTTCAGTTAATATATATTCGACAAATGTATGTGGCATAAACACAACGGATCTCATATGCTTAGTAATTGACTGTTAGTCTTAATCAAATTCGAGAGATAGGAAAGCAAAGGGAAGAAAAGAAAAAATTCAGAGAAGAGGAAGGAAAAAAGAATATTGCTCAATAAGTAAACATCACTGCTGCGAGCGATGTGAATGCACACAAAGATAAGATACATGAATGATATCTGAATTTAATCTAAAATACTATTCAGATTACGAAGAAATTCACGTATTTACTGTATAAGAATTGTGAATAAGGATTCTCATTGACCGTTGGTCGAGCTTAGAAAACATGAGCAAAAATATTCAGATAACTCTAATAGAAGAAGTCTTCAGAATTGAACGATGCAGAGGATTTAGTTTCACCTTACGTTCTGCGTTTATTTTTGCTTTTTCTTAGGATAGTATTTGTGGAAAACTTCCTTGTACATTCCATCGAGATAGTTGACAAAATACGATATTCGTAGAAAAAATATATAATATAGAACTTATTTGTCATTTGGTAGCACCACATTCCATAATAAAATCATTAGTGAAACTAAACTATTTAACATTTTTTTCAACTGATTTATTAAGATCAATCAGTATGATGTTTCGTTCTAACTAAGAACATTATCAAACACAAATAAATAGACAGAAGAAGAATATATATAAGAGTGAAATAATGTCATCGTTTTTCATTCTATTGTTTTAAGCATTTCAATGCACGGCTGGAGTAAAATTGATCTGTCTGCATTAGAATGTTTAAAACAATAGAATAGAAAAACGAAGACATTATTTTACTCTTATAAAT